TGAGGCGTACCTCCAAACGGAGACGGGTGTCGTGTGAGTTTAAACAACAATTCCATGCTCCCAACAAAGTCATTTTTTCCCAGGTGGCAGCGTTCTCTGTTTCCTTTATTTTCTGATAAATAAAATAATACATTAAAAGCTACGATTTAAAAATAGCTGATATATACTCGTGTAGGTCGAAGGTCACACGGGTCATGTTGAGAAGTTGAAGTGTGCTGAAATATTGATATTTCTTATATTTACCAACCGTCCTCTTCAAATGGAAAGGGGTTGCACACACGAGGGCGTACCTCCAAAGGGAGACGGGTGTCGTGAGTGTTGTAAAAAACCAATTTCACACTTCCAAAGAAAAGGAGTTACCAACCAGCCTCTCCAAAAGGAGAAGGATTGCACAAATGAGGGCGTACCTCCAAACGGAGACGGGTGTCGTGTGAGTTTAAACACCAATTCCATTCTCCCAACAAAGTTGTTTTTTCCTAGGTGGCATTAATCAAATCATTTTATTGTTTTGATTGGATAAGATCACGTGTTCACAAAGCAAAATATAACCTCACATGATTGATAAACATTCATGTGATTGGCTAATGTTTGCAGATCTAAACACGACTATTGATTAATAAGAAAATAAAAAAAATATGCGAACATAAGTAATAATTAATTGTGCATATTTATCGCATTTTTAAACAGTAAATTGATTATAATTTTTTCATTATCAACGTTTTTTGCTAAATAACAAAGGCTACTAATATTTACTATCTGCTTTCGCATTTACTAACCCAACAAGCTTAATTCTTCTATAGTACAAGATACTAGCATAAATAATTTTGATAAAATCATATTTTAAAGATTTTGTGTAAGAGTCTTTTTTAAAATAAACTTACGGTGAATACCTTGTTTTTTCTTTAAGTTGGCTTTTCGTATAAAATATTAGATACATAAAGCTAGAAATTGTAAAATGTAGAATTATAAAGTATTATCCTTTAAATAAAGTTTATTTGAAGTCGAATCTGTGGATTTTCATTGCTATTACAAAACGTAAAAGGTTTTTTTAAAATAATATTATTATGTTGGTTTAAATTCTACATATATCCAATGTCTAGCTTTGGTTCTTGATTGTTAAAAGAGATTCTTTTTTTTTTGCATTATCGATTATCATAAATCAATTGAAGATTTTAATCATGTTATTCGCATATGCTTTTCAAAATTTCCATGAAAATCAATTGCCTGGGTAACTTATTTATACATTTTAAAGCAGGGGTGTTACTTAACAGCTTTTGGACAAAGTTTGAAAATTATTCAAAACTTTAATAGTAAAAATGTTCAAAAGTAAATAAAATATAAAATCAATTTTTTTTTGAGCTTTGGACGTTGGACATGCCAAAAAACACTTTGGAGAGGCTGGTTGGTAACTCCTTTTCTTTGGAAGTGTGAAATTGGTTTTTACAACATTCACGACACCCATCTCCCTTTGGAGGTACGCCCTCGTGTGTGCAACCCCTTTCCATTTGGAGAGGACGGTTGGTAAATATAAGAAATATCAATATTTCAGCACACTTCAACTTCCCAACACACCCTACACGAGTATATATCACTATTTTTAAATCGTAGCTTTTAATGTATTATTTTATTTATCAGAGAATAAAGGAAACAGAGAACGCTGCTACCTGGGAAATAACGACTTTGTGGGAGCATGGAATTGTTGTTTAAACTCACACGACACCTGTCTCCGTTTGGAGGTACGCCTTG